CTGCGGGACTCACTGTGAGTGCTTGACCACGGCGGGGACACGGGCTCAAGGGGTCAAGGGGCCATGGCTGGACTTTGGGGTCCCTAAAACGGGACTTGGGTCGGCTGAACTGGGGAACGGTACCTGGGGGACGAGTCGAAACTGGGAGAGCGGACTGCAGACCCAGGGCCAGGACTTAGGGAAAGGGAAATTCAGAGTCAGAACTTGGAGGACAGAAAGGGGGGGAGAAGTCACGGGGAGCCGGAGACATGGAGCCAGGACAGGGGCTCCGCGAAGCGGGGTCTAGAGAGAGTCGGGTAACCATTACCAGAAAGCACCCTAGAATCAGAGGGCGCGGGGCAGACAGCCAGGGAGCAAAAGGGGTTGCTGAGGCCCTGGCCAGTGGAGGGAGTTGGCAGCGGCTGCCCAGTGTAGGGGCAGTTGGCGGCGTCCAGCGCCCCTCGCCTGGGGCTCAGCTCGGACTCCAGGGACTGGGGGTAGGGGTGCGTCTAGTCGCTCACGTTTCTCTTTTCAGCTGCTTCGCAGTTGCGCTAGGAGCCTTGTAGTGAGAGGCTGGCCGCGACCAGGTCAGATGGTCGCTGTGCGGGCGGCAGGGCAGTGGCTGGGCAGCCCGAATCGCAGGCAGCGGGTCTGGAGTGTCCGGCTCGGGGTGTCAGGGTCCGCGTGGGTCCCAGCCTGGGGCCGCCACGACATCGGACAGAATGTCCGCAGCGCGCAGGGCCGGTAGCGGACAGAATGTCCGAGGCGGCGAGGTGGGTCTCCCTGGAGCAGGCGCTGTGTCAGGCAGCGGTGACAGAATGTCCCTGGCCGAGTGGCATGTCCATTTACCGGGCAGCGCCTACCCAGCTCCTGCGTGTGCAGTGGGGTTCGCTGTGGTGGGTCGCCTCAAACCCCACTTTGCAAACTTGTTTCTGCTCGGAGGGGCGGTGGGGCTCAGGAGCAGGGAGTGAGAGTAAAGCCTACAGCTGGGCCTTGGGGCGAAGTGGTGGTGGGAGAGATTCCCTCCCCCAACTCAAACCAGACCCAAGCATTGCCTGGACTTCCAGAATCCAAATCTGAGCAGAGAAATCCATGAGGGGGGCTGCTAGTGGGCTTCAAGTCCAGGAAAAGAGGGAGTGAACCACAAAGGGCAATGGGAGGGCGAGGAGGTGCCTTCACAAACTCCGAGGAAACCCCTCATTCTAGTACAGCTGATCAGACACCCCCAAACTTCTTGCCTGGGTGCCAGCAAGTTAAAGGTGCCTTCTCTGCAGGGAGCAGGAGCCCAGGCCTGAAGAGAAAATTGCAAAGCAACCCCTGTGGCCTTGTTTCCCTTTTTGCTCCCTCAGCGCGCCCCCCCCCCACCACCAATCTCAAGAACACCCTGATGGCTGAGCCGAGGTAGGAAGGAGACACATGGGATCAAGACTCTTAGGTCCAAGGTGAGGCCCTCAACTCTGGTTGGAAAGGGGGTCTCAGCCATACCCAGCTGTTCCGTGTGCTTTCCCTTTAGCAGCAGGCGGGCCCTGATTCTTTGGACCCCTACAATAACCACCCACCCTGACCCCAACTCTGTAACTAGACAGGCCCCAGTTAGACTGAAGAGCACAGAGAGAACTCTCCCAGTCTATGTTAGTGAGGAAAACAGCCGGGTTAGAGACTGGGTTTTCATGGGGCAAGTGCAAGGTGACGTGTTTAGCAATGAGTAAATAATTCAAACAAGTGGATAGCAAACATTCTCATCCTCCACCCATGAGTGACATACAATACATATTACCCTCACCCCCACCTCCATTCTTCAATTTTAAAGTTTACGTATTACCAGCTAGAACATTGTTTCTCAACCTTCTTTGTTCCTTGCCCCTTTTTGATAAATATAGAGTCCAACCAATACTCTCGCCTCATTCTGATACCCTTTTCAGGGGCTTGAGCTCCCATCACCTTTGAAAACCACAGAAATCATGGCTGATGGAAGTCTCTGAGTCAGGAAAGGAATAGGGAAGGTGTTGCAGATGTTTCCCTGAAGACCTTAGCTTAGCCCAAAGTTCTGATTTTGCCAAAAAGGCCAAAAAGCAACAGCATCATAATGAAGATGACTGGAAACAACAGGCAGAACCTTCTCCCATCCTTGCATAAAACCATGTAGCTGAGTGCATTCCTGAGTCACTGGCTCCTAGGAAGAATATCATGGACTTAGGGAAATGTCAGAGAATAGTTCACAGAATGGGGAGCCAGTGGCTTCTGGAGAGGGCAAACTTCAAAGTTTAAGTCTCTGGAAAGTGAGATGGGGTGGAAAAACCCACAAAATAATGAAAGGCATCGATAAACAGAAGACTTGTTTGCTCCTCAAATTCTGAAACCAGAGATGAGGGGCCCCTTAGAACTGGAATGATGCTAGCGCAAGATGAATAGAAACATGTCCCTAGACACAAGGTGGGCAGTCAACTTCCAGAGCTCATTCCCAGAGGGTTGGTAGAGTCAGGAAGTATAAAGAGAATTCTTTGGGCCTTGAGAGGATCGGTGCATGTCAGAGCCACAAATGGCTGCTGGGGTGGAGGGGGCTAGGATTGAAAAGACCTCAGTCCTTGGTCTTCAATCTGTGTAACCTTTACAAATTCATCTTCTCAGAGGTTAAATGGGGTTGGTCATTCCTGCCACTCGCAGTGGTTGTAAGAGTTAAATGAAATCATATACATGAAAGCCCTTTGCAAGTGGAAAAGCACCGTAGAAAAAAGAAATATTACTGCCGTGATTATGCCCAAACTGTAGAATCTTTGCTTGGAAGGGTGGTGTCTGAAGTCTTAAATCAGCCAGCTAGCATCCCCGATCCAGCCACCAGAAGATTCTCAGTGACAGAGGAAACACCCTATCTCAGGCTTCAGATGCCAGCCATTACCCCTGCCCCTCTCTGAGAAGAGTTCAAAGGAGCTCCCTGAATGCTTGACTCCTCTACCAGGCCCAATATCCTGATCTAGTCCCTGCCTGTCTGCTGCTTAAGGATGTGAATATGGATCCAAGACGCAGGTCCAGGAAGAGAGGGTAGGGGAGGCAGACTAACACTGAGCTGGGAGGGGGATGAGAGGTGGGAGGAGCCACTCAAATCTTTTCTTCTCTGTTCACTCTGAATGATGCTGCCCAGAGTGTGGGGGAGAGAGATGGCAGCTAATATGAAGGAGCCATTAGGTCCTGAGCTTTGGGATTATCTAGAATGTCTAGCCCATAGTCACCAACAGGGACCCATGATAAGAGTGGTGGAGAAAGAAAGGAAAAGATAGGTGGTGGAATGAGAAAGAACTGCTTTCAAAGAGCCCCTTTCCCATCTCTCCCCTGCCCAATCTAGTCTGCTCACCAAGGCCAAATAAAGGTCCCAAAGATGCTGCTTCTACGTCCCTCTCCTGTTTTAAACCTCCAGTGACGCCCATTGCTTGGAGCAATGCTTCTCTGTAGGGGGCTGAAGTGGAAGAGGGCAGTATAGGAGTGAGAGGAGCATGACGCTGCAGGCTAAACACGGCCCATCTATCTTCCTGGTGTGATGATGTCACTTGGAGATTTGGAGAGAACACGTTATTTTTATATTAAAACAAACATAACAACTTTATGGAATAGAATGCAAAATTTACTTTCAGTTTTAACATACGGCTGGAGAGCTCAAAGACATTTCATACCGGTGGCATCTGTTTTAGGTTGTACCCCTAGTGTTCCAGGGTGATATTCTCTCTTACTAGTCTTGGTGGGGTTTTTAATGGAAAATCTGAAGATGCTCTAGCCTAGATCGTATCAAACCTGAACCACCACCCCTCCTTGGAGACACCTCCCCAGCCTGACCCATTTTTTCTCCGATGATCTCTCATTGTCCCTGTTGCCCTCTGAACCTGCTACAATCTCTTAGCCCCAAAACATATACCTTACATGGGCTTCCATTTGTCTATCTATCAAAGTCTGAGAAACAGACTCAAGCAGCCCATCATTTCATTCTGTGCTCTGTTTGCCTCCCTAGAGGCTCCTAGAAGTTAGGGCCTTTGCCTTACCAGTCTTGGGGATCTGTCTTAGCACCTAACACTTGCTGAAGGAAAGAAGGAAGGAAGGAAGAGTGTGGAGGTTCATTTCTCTGATCCCTGACTCACCCCTTAATAAATTAAGTGTACCAAATTATTGCTGCCTTCACCTGAATCTCAGGGTTTCCTCCTGGGGCTGTGAGCTGTCTCCAGCTGTCTTTTCCATTCCCATTTGTCACTGCAGTTCAGCAGACCAGACCGTTTGGGTGCTCAGCATCAGCAATGAATGTGAGACTCTGTGCACTTAAGGGCCTCGCTTCAGTTTCAGGTTTACGGGATGGTGTGGGGACTGATTTACTCCTGTTCACCAACGTGCTGCTGGCTGAGCCACAGCATCACAACGCCATCCCCTCTTTCCTTCCTCCTTACTCTGTCCCTGCAGGAGGAAGTTCTCCTATTTAAGTTCCAGGGTGTGTTTCCTGTCTTAGGCATTTATTGTTATAACTTCTTGGGGGCTCTCTGGCCGTGGCCCTGGTTTACCCCTTTGGCTTCAGGACAAAAGTGGGTACACATGGCAGTTGACCTCTTACCATGAACCCCTTGGATCAACCATGGCCTCCCCACTATGGCCTCTCTGGCCCATGATATTCTCTGCTCTCCACCTTAATATAAGTTGGGTATTTTGTTCTTGCTGCAGTTTATGACATCTTCCTGTAATTGCAGCCTGTACTTCACAAACAGAGCACCTCTGTAGGCCCTCCCTTCTCCTTAGGGCTAGGATTGCCCTCTGACACCAGTGGGGCCTGAGCCATGCATCCTCTGCAGTGGGTGTCAGAAAGACTGGTGGTGGGACAGACAGCCCCTCCCAAAGCTGGACCCAGCAAACTGTTACCTCTTGGCTCTCTTTGGTCCTGCCTGGCATTTCCTATCAGCATCAACCAAACCTGTGGCTACAAGACCTACTGCTTGTCCCTGTCCACTGAGTGAGGTGAAGTCCTTGGCCTCAGTCTCAATTTTGCAGTTTAGGGAGCTTAATCCTCAGCCAACCTGTCTCCAGCTCAGACAACCACTGGGCTCCTGCAGCCTCTCCCTCACCAGCCCACCAGGGCACGAGTATGCTGGATAGCTATGCCCCACCCTTCATTTTCCTATTACTTGCCAGGCTTTAGTGTTGTTTTCTGTTTCACAGTCAGGGCCCTTCTCATCCCCTCTATCTTCTATTAGTAACCCAGTCAGGAGCCTGAGGCTCCATCCTTTCCTTTACCAGTCCCTGGTCCCCAAAGTGACTCCCAACTTGGGTTACTCTACCCATTGTGCTGTTACCTTATTGACTGGGCTCACCTTTATGTTCAGGACAGAGTGCTCACAACACACATTTGCATCCCTCTCTAAAATGCAGTATCCTCACCTCTTTATTCACCAGAGAAATTCTTCACTGGGAGAACAGGGTCTAGGGAGGTGAACCACTCAAGCAAGAGCAGAGATGAGGATGAGCTCTTATTTGCCACTCTATCCTTGGAGCCTTACTCAATGCCCAGCTCATAGAAGGTGCCAAATAGGCATCTCTTCTATGAATAAGAAAAAAACATACTTGGATAGAGTTGTACCCATTTTTACATGTTATATTTTATTTTAACCTATAACAATACTGAGGGTAGAGGGATTATGATCTCCCTTTTAGAGATGAAAAATAATATGCTCGGAGAGGTAATTTGCCAAGATCACATAGCTAGTTAAGTTGGAGAGCCAGGACATGGATCAAGATCTTTTGACTCCAAACCTAATTTCTTTGGGCTATACCAGATTACTTTCCTAAAAGAGACCTGGGCAATTTCTGGCCCCACCCCCGCCTCACCCTCTTCCTCCAGCATTTTCCTGCCATCTCCCCAAACAGGCTTTCCCCAGCAGCCACTGGGTGCAGACCACTCCCCTGGCCCCTTTGGCCTCCTCCTCCCCCACAGAGTCCTTAGTTCCTGGGACTGAAAGCTGAGGTTCAGAGGGGCCAGGAAAGGGAGGGGGGAGGGTAATGGCTAGTTCCAAAACAGCCCAGGCAGCTGTCCCTGTCACAGAGAGAGGAGACTGTGTGACAGTGTGTGTCTGTCTGCTTGAATGTGGGAGCACATGTGTGGGAGAGTGTGTGTTTGTATGCCTCTAGTTCCAAGTCCAAGTGCTTATTTTGTCTGAGTGGGGGCCTCTGTGTGTCTGCATGTGTGTCTGTCTGTCTCTAGGAACACACAGCCTGAACTCTGCTTTCTCAGCTTCATCTTTTACTCTGGCCCTTATCTCTCCTCACCCTGCCTCCCTTGGCTGAAATTAAGGGTGAAACCAAGACACAGGTATGGAATGCTGGGGGAAGGGGAGTTTGGAAAATTAGAAGTCTGGAGCCAAAGCAGGCTGGGAGGATAAAGGGCAATGGTGGGATTTAGCTTTCCCTGCAGGCAAACCCAAATGTCTCTTTTCCCAATTCTTTGTTGCTCCTGTGACCTCTGGAGAAATCAGAGGCATGGTTTACATTTTGAGGGCATCTTTTAAAAAATATATTTATTTTATTTTATTTTTTATTAAATCTATTGGGGTAACATTGGTTAATAGCATATAAATTTCAGGTGTGCGACTTTATAATAAGACATCTGTATACTCTATTGTGGGCTCACCACCCAAAGTCTAGTCTCCTTTGTCATCATGTATTGGACCCCCTTTACCTTCTTTGTCCTCTTGGGTATAAAGTAAAAGGAGGCTTCAGAGCACCCTTTGTCCGGCTCTCAGTTCTGTGCCTTCCCAGCTATTTGGGAAGACTTCTAGTCAAGACTGCTACAGGCCCCTCCCAAGGGCATCTCCCTTCCACCAGAGCGTTGTTGAGCCAGCCCCAAGCCTCTGACTCCTGACCTCAGACCTGGGAGAGGTAAGCTGAGCACCTCCACCCTGGGCTGACTTCCCTCCTTCCTTGCCAGATCCCCTTCAGGCCTGCCTCCTTAATCCTAGGATAGGTCCAAGGTCTAGTCTCCTGTGCCGGTGGAAAGAATAAGGGTTGCTCCTCCACTCCTGCCCTGACCTCTGTCCCACCCCAATCTTACTTGAGAGGTGGGGGCAGGGGACAGCTGTCCTTTCTGAGCTGGTTGAAGGGGGCATTACCATGTGCAAATACAGGCCACTGCCCATCTGTGCCTCCCCGGGAAAGGCTCCTAATAAATTCAGAGCAGCCAAGTGAAAAACATCTCAACTTAGGCTAATCCACCACATTAATGCCACCTTGCACAGCCTGTATTAAATCCCTGTTAACCGGAAGGTAGATGGACCCCTCCCGCCCAGCTCCTCACCCTCGTTCCTCTGTCCCTACCCTCCTCTGGTTCTCCTCTGACTTAGAGGCATCCAGAGTTCTTGAGCCCCACCAGTGTTCCTTTCCCTTCCTGCTACCAGAGAGGGCCTGGGAGAGCCAGCAGAAAAGAGATACCTGCAGGGGAAACTTGAAGAGAGACCCAAGCAGGCTGTTGGGTAATGTCAGGCAAGGTTTGGGATAGGAAGTAAGGCCAGCAAGGGGGTTTTCAGAAGCTCATATCTGCTGCCTGCCTCGGGTGGGCCTACTAGAGGCTGTGCATGTGAGTAGAACAATGACTGGTAGGATGTGAAGTGTGCCTGGATGGGCACAGAATCAGACAGAGCCGAATGCCTAGTGGTTTTCAAATGGGGTTTTTATTCTGGAACCCTTTTTTCAAATGAAGTCTCTCCAGGAAGCATGAACAAAACAGTCAAAAGCAGAGCTACCCTAGATGTAGCAGATCAAATCAAGACCAGGCTAGGGTTCCATCCTTGAGACTAGCCTGAGTTCCAGTCCCTGAGGGGGTTTCTGGGTAGAGGCCCTAAAGAACACAATTTGAAAAAGCCAACAGAGCTCGGCCCGTGTTGCTCAATGGCTGAACCTATGAACCAGGAGGTCATGGTTCCATTCCCAGTCAGGGCACATGCCCGGGTTTCAGGCTCAATCCCCAGTAGGAAGCAGACAATCAATGATTTTCTCTCATCATTGATGTTTCTACCTTTCCCTCTCCCTTCCTCTCTAAAATCAATAAAAATGCATTTTTAAATAAAGAAGAAAGATAAAACAAATGGAGAAAAAACATTAGCTTCGGAGTCTCCCAGAGCAGATTCAGATCCCAGTTCCACTGCTTACAAGCTCTGTGACCCTTTTTTCCCCCGTGACCCTTAATTGTTACTTTAAGTCTCAATTTCATCATCTGAAAAAGGTGACCATACTTAATATTGATGCATTCTTGTGAGGGGAGAGATAATGAGATCAAGGCACACAGTAAGTACTCATATGACAGCAGTGATTATCTTTATGGGAGAAGTATCAGGTCTGGTACAATGAGCAACAAAGGTTCCAGCTATGTGTTAGGTATGATTGACTGAGGGGCATGTATAAGTTTATGGGAATATTGGGCATTCGTGCGAGAGGGATGGTATATGGCATGTGGTGTGCAATCGTTGTGGTTTTCATTAATTCAATAAATATCTATTGAATACCAACTGTGCACCAGGCAAAGTTCTAGGTGCCTGGCCATGAACAAAACAAAGTCTAGTGTGTATATCTATCTGTGCATGAAGTTTTTGAATATACACCTTTTCCCCTTAGGCTGCTGTCTCCCTATTCTATCCTAGGGCACCCCACACAGGAGTAGCTTTATGTTGGGGGCTGTGAAAGGGGACAGCGAACCTGTGGCGAAACACTTTTGGGAACCGGGTAACCCGGAGATTTTAGCCCCATTGGCCTGGTCTGTGTCGTCTCTTCCCTCCAGAGTCTCCTCTCCATGGAGTTCGGCCTGCTCAGCGAGGCGGAGGCCCGGAGCCCGGCCCTATCACTGTCAGACGCGGGCACTCCCCACCCCCCACTCCCGGAACACGGCTGCAAGGGCCAAGAACACAGTGGTGAGCGCGCCCCCTTCTGGGCGTAGGGGAGATAACAGCTCCATTCCTAATGGGGATGGGGCCCGGGTGGGAGTGAGTGGCCGGTAAAGGGGGTACCCCAAGCCCGGGAATCCCTGTGACCTGCCCCAAACCGGTCCCAGACTCGGAGAAGGCCTCGGCTTCGCTGCCCGGCGGCTCCCCCGAAGACGGCTCGCTGAAGAAGAAGCAGCGGCGGCAGCGCACGCACTTCACCAGCCAGCAGCTGCAGGAGCTGGAGGCCACCTTCCAGAGGAACCGCTACCCCGACATGAGCACGCGCGAGGAGATCGCCGTGTGGACCAACCTCACCGAGGCCCGCGTGCA